TCTTGATTAGGAGATTGAGACAACTGGTCTTGTTTCACCTCTCAAGATTATAAAATACTATTGTTTTGGCAGTCTCCTTGTAATAGTATGAGGGAATGTCTTTGGAAGTTGCTAGGGAACAGTCAGAAGAAATGGGGAGGAGCCCCCAGCTGCAAAAGAAAGAAAATCAGAAAGGATCCTCCCTAACTTATCAGACTGTAAAAGAGACAGCGGGAGATTTGTAATTTCATACATATAGGTTTCTGTTAATGTAACCTTACAGTAATGTAGAATTAGCTCATCCGGTCTTTTTCTATGTAGGAAGACTGACATCAGTCTTGAAAGTCTGAAAGTACAAATATCCAGCTGTTTTGCACTAGTTATACCTTTCCTGAATTGAGAAGCCCTTCTTTCTTTCATTCTCACCCTAGTTATGGGGCTATTGCCATGAACTCTACATGGGACTACCCTTGAAGAGTATCTGGAAGCTACAGCTAGTGCAGAATGCAGTGGTGTGAGCAGTTTTGAGTGCCACTCGAGCTGCACATATAATGTCTGTAATATGTGAGCTGCATTGGATGGCATTTTGCTTCCAGGTTCAATCCAAGATGTTGCTTATCAGCTTTAAAGCCTTCATCCCATGGGACCAGATTACCTATGGAACCATCTTGTCTAATTGCATCATCCTGTCCTATCTGGTCAGGCAGGAAGGGTATGCTGTGGATCCCATCTGTTAAAGAATTTTGAATGACAGGATCCAGGAAGGGAACCTGAGTCCTGAGTCCTTTGGGATTGGGCGGCATATAAATATTGAAAATAAATAAATAAATAAAACCTTCTCTGCCATTGCTGTCATCCTTTGGAATATCTTTTCCACAGCAGTGAGATGGGGCCCCACACTTCTGGCCTTTTGAAAGAGGGGTTAAGACTTGGCTCTTCCAATTAGCATGGAGGTTGAAGAGTGATACGAAATCCTCAAAGCAGTTGGTGACGTGAGGGAGCTCCCTTTGCCTTTATAATCTGTAATATTTTAATTTTAACTTTGTTCTTAATTCTGTTTTATTTTTTGTTTTTATTTATTTATGATTTCATATCACCTTTTATGTTTTTATTGTAAACTGCACAGTCCCTCTTGTGGGACACTCTGGCACTAACAGTTCGACTGGCCCTTACTTTTCTACTCTTTCAGAAGGCCATTAAGATCTGGCTTTTTATTGAGGCTCTGGGATTGTATGGGTAGAAGGTACGGAAGGAAGTAGCTGAGTTTGCTTGGGGCATCCCAAGGGGAACGATTACAGCATTTTTCTCTAATGCTTTACTGTTATTGTTTTTATTATTCTTTTATTTATTAGTTTTATGGTCATTGTAAAAATTGTAAATTGCTAAAGATGGGTATCCATATAAATATTTTAAATAAATAAATGCATCATTTAGGAATGGCAATTCCAGCACTCCAATACCATTGTTAATGTTAACTGAATTCCACCAGTCATTAGGCAAGGACCCACCCTGATCCCAAGTGACTCCCAGCTTAGTCCCTCCCATCTCTGAGCTGTGGTGGCGCAGTGGTTGTAATGCAGTATTGCAGGCTAATTCTGCCAACTGCCAAACAATTCGATTCTCACCAGCTCAAGGTTGACTCAGTCTTCCATCCTTCCAAGGTCCGTAAAATGGGGACCCAGATTATTGGAGGCAATATGCTGACCTTGTAAACCTCTTAGAGAGAGCTGTAAAGCACTGTGAAGCGGTATATAAGTGCTATTGCTATCTTACTTCACAAAATGCATTTAGAGTCTGCCGGTCTGTCTTTCATGTTCTGGCAAATTCATGTCTATCTGTGGGAGAAGAACCTTATACAGACAATGCAAGGCCTTATTTCCTTTTTCTTTATTTTTCCTCTGGGACTTGGAAGCAGCCGAATTAGAATTAGCTGGACCAAACCTATGCTTCACGTACAAAAGCAAGTATTTGAAAGCAACATTGTGTTAGAGAAGGAAAAGGACAATGCTGCAAGCAAAAGTTGCAAGTGAGAGCTGAGCAAAACAAAAGTCACCAGGGCAAAGATGACTTGGAAAGTATGTGGGACTAGAGCTAGCCTGCAAAAATGCAGTGTAGGGATGGGGGAGAAATGGGTTCAGAAGCATGCACAGCCACAACTGAGCAGAGGAGCAGAGCCAACAGCCAGGCCAATTTCTGCCACCCAGAGCCAGCCAGCATTGGCAGCAGACTTTTCCTCTTTCAGCAAGAAACAGAGACACCAAACTTCTAATGGCTCTGTAGGCCAGAGACAACAGACACTTGCTAAACAAAAGTTTATAAAGTTCAATGAGTTACACCAGTGGTGGCGAACCTATGGCATGGGTGCCAGAGGCGGCACTCAGAGCCCTCTCTGTGGGCATGCGCACTGTTGCCCCAGTCCTAGGCCTTCAGCTGGCTTTTATAAAATGTTTTCGCTTTAGGCCTCCACCGCCATGTGCAAAAAAAAAAAAAAGGTTCAATCAATCAATCAATTTCAACTTCTTGCGGGAGAAAAAAAGATCTTGCAAAGTTGGAATTGATTGATTGAACTTTTTAGTCCCATCCACTCTGCGTTACCACCGCAGCCACACCCAGCAATAGGCCGCACCCAGCCAATGAGCCACACCCACCCAGCACCCGACCATGCATAAGTGGGTTTTGGGTTGCAGTTTGGGCACTTGGTCTCTAAAAGGTTCGCCATCACTGAGTTACATTTTCACAATGTCCCAGAAGTAGATGATGCTCCCTATAGTAATTTGGTCAATAGAACTCCTTGACAAAAGAACTCTTTGCATCATAGGAGAATGTATAGTAACTTTGTCTGTTTCAGCAAGGCTGGGAAATGTCTTCCTCCTCCTCCTCTCGATCAAGCCCTTTATGCTTCCCCTCATTCCCATTCCTAACCAGGATACCTTATAGTATTACTGTACTGTACTCAAGTGCACTATCCAAATATCCCTTGATTAGGGAAATTAGGGAAAAACTTGTTTTTTATGTAGGTGGCTGATAGCTTATTTACCTATTTCACCAACTTTTCTTGGTAGAATTGATACTTTAACCCAGTGGTGGCGAACCTGTGGCATGTGTGCCAGAGGTGGCACTCAGAGCCCTCTCTGTGGGCACTTCTCTGAACTGCTGGTGGAGGGCTGCGGAACCCCAGAGTGCACTTGTCGAGGGACCGGCAGGCTGTGGCTGCTGATGGACACTGTCAGCCCCCATGTGCTCGCTGGACTCTGTGTGCGGAGGCCGATGGTGTCAGGCAGCAGCTGCCCCGGCCCCTGCCTTGCCTTGCGACAATGGCACCCCCGCCCTGCCTCACCTCACCCCGCAGGACGAGTCTCCTGCCCACCATCCCACATGCCAGAGACCCCCTGGATCTCCCCCAACCCTGCCCGGCCCCCACAGGTGTCCCTTCCCACGAGCAACATCGAGGTGACCATCCCACCTTGGCCACACCCACCCAATCTGCCATGACCACCACAGCAACGCCCACCCAGTGGGCCATGACCACCTGGCACCCAGCAATAAATAAGTAGGTTTTGGGTTGCAGTTTGGGCACTCGGGCTCTAAAAGGTTTGCCATCATTGCTTTAACCAGACCTTTTTTTTCAGCTTCTCTGAAGAAATACTAGATGCTAATTCCAGGGAAGCTGTCCGTATGCAATAAGGCAAAACAGAACAAATACTCCTCTTTCATTTTTATTCAGGATATGAATTCTATTACCTGTCATCTCTTGCTAGTATTTGAATATGTTGTTAGCCTTGGTCCTCTTCTTAATTGTGAATGAGTTTGGCAGCTATTTTGGAATTGCACTGTGTTTTCTCTCCTTCCTAGAGAAAAAGAAAATGCTTCCTTAAGGAGCATTTGAACTTGTGACATCCAGTTAAATTGTTACTGCCCTAACCCTTATTAGTCCTTGTTCTTCCTCAACAAGGTTATTAACTCTGTAGCTACTATATACTTCTAATTATTGTGTTTTAAAGTTATCTTTTTGGTTATCACTTCAGCCCTCAGGCTCTGTTATTATGCCTAACTGTAGTTACCTTTTCTGTTTTGCACAAAATAATTACATTTTTAAAAAATTGTATTGTCATTTCAACTCAGTCTGTCTTTGGTATGGCCTACATTTTGCTACATCACTACAGCACTATTTCCATGGTTTGGATATTCATGAAAATCATGGCCATCATCCTGGAAAGAAAGCAACTATTCTCCAAACAAAGTGGCTTCCATTCGGAGATTTGCAAATTGGATCTCTGCCTTGATGCACTTTGTCTTTTATTGCCATTTAAGGATTCTCCATGACAAGTCAGGCCCTCCTCTACAATCTCTTCAATGACCTTTTTGATGGCTCTATTTTTGCATGATTTATGCAGTTCTCATCCTTCATGTAGTCTTTCATGTCGCAGTGCAACATAGCAGTTGGATAGCAGAACTATGAAAAATAATACATCGGGGAAAATGTATTATTTTCTGATTTCATGTAATAGATCATCTGTCCTTACCTGCTATTTAACTATGGGTGCAACGTGCAGAGAATACAAGAACATGAGCAGTTGCTGTGGTTCTTCAATTAGTCATCCGATACTTACACAATCTTGCTCCATTCTCATATAGTGTTGAGGCAGCCTTGAGAAGTCTAGGACAATTGGACAAGCAGGGATTTTGCCCATAATCATGTGCATTAAGAATGTGTTTGCTGCCAAAAAGTCCTCTATGTCTGTTAAAAATTCTGATGTGGCTCTGGCATACAGCATCATGCACATATGCAGCTTAGCAGGAAATGTGAATCCATCCCATATAATAAACTTTTTTAAAATAATCTGTTTCTCCCGGACTATTGTGAATCAAAACCTTAAGTTCAACAGTGTTCAACTTCCTGTTCATTTTTTTTCCAAGCAAACTTAGGAAAAGATGGACAGTGGCAGCTTGCTAGAACCAAAATATGATTCTGTCAGTGTGTCACATATTCTACAATTACGTTGTTTTGGTTTCTTTTGCAGGTGCAATACTTTTTCAGTATCCTAGACAGCTAACAGAACAGTGGAGTAAAACTGCTTAGAAAAAACAAACTGCAGAATGGGAAATGTATGTTTATTCATTTATTGTCCAGTGTTTAACCTGAATGAAATACAAGGCCCACAAGAGCACTGAACTCCTAGCTATTACATATATTAGAACATAGAGTTTTGCACTTTAGACAACATTTAACACCAATTGATGGGATAACTGCATTGCTTCTCAAAGTTCAAAATAAAGATTTATTTTTAGACATGTGGCTTTGGTTTATTTTTATACATTACACCTTTTTCTTGCAGAAAAAAATTGTACAACTGCATAAATATAAAATTCTTCCACCATGAAAATGGTCAAAACATTCAATAAAGACAGCACCACAGCATGTGATGCTTCTCACAGGAAAAGAAGATAATATACAAAGCAAAATAATTATTCCTCTCACTAATGAAATTGATAGGCTGACATAGATGTCACACACAATTTTAAAACATGGTAGGATGAAAGAGAAAGAAAAAGACACCAGTTGCTACAAAGCACAGTACATAATCACTTACTCTCCATTACTTTCAAAGTTAAAGTAATTTTTTCCCTGCCACCACATTTAGTAATTTAGTAACTACTGAGGAATAGAAGTTGGGGGAAGCTTCATGGAGTGCTATTGGATAATCACAATTGGGCCTTTACCTTTTCAAAACAAAAGAGCCGGTTTGATGTAGTTAAGGTGATCTAGAAATCAGGGAGCTGTGAGTTCTAGTCCCATTTAGGCATGAAAAACTGGAAGGGTGATTTGGGCTAGTCACTCTCTCAACCCAATTCATCTCATAGGGATGTTCTTGTGGGGAAAATAGGAGCAAGGAATATTAGGTATGTTTGCTGCCTTGAGTTATATATGAAAAAAAAAGTTTAAAAAAATCTTTAAAAAATGAAAAAAGTACTGTGCCAGTTTTAATCCCACTGAGTATTTACACCTTGTGCAGCAAATCTATGCTCACAGAAAAGTAGAAAACAGTACAATAATACATGGCTTGAAAAATGACCAGAATAATGCACCTAAAGTACTATACACTAAATAAAATTCACATGGCAGCAATACTTAGGGGGCAGAAACACTGCTTACTACAAGTCAGTTATGGAATCATAATTTACAGTAGAAATGGGCGTATCCCAAGGCTCAATTCTGTTTTTCATCCTTTACAATAGAATAAATATCTGTCACTATTGCTACACTTTTAGGTTTACATTCTAATCTATTTAAATGCAGAAAGCTAGTGTAAAGCATATAGATTATGTGTAGGTCCCATATGTATGAGTTTTGTTCAAGACTAGTAGTTTTGTCTCTTTTTATACTTTTTAAATGGCTAAGAGGAAAAAAGAAGACACAAACTGTGCTTATGATCAGCTGCTTTTTATCTCAATTTTCATATCAAAACGTCCCTGGAAACGATCTTTGTCACTGTAGTAAATATTTTGACCGTAGGCCTTGCACTCAATACGCATCTCCATATTAGTAGTCAGGTTGGTGAACTGTACTGCTATAAGGGGTTGAAGGTATTTCTTCTGAATGATCCTGCCATAATATGGGTAGTATTGTAGAGGAAAGCCAGCATAGCCAGCAATACCATAGTATTCCACAGGGCCAATTTTGTCCAAATCCTCTTCTTTCTAAAGAAATAAATGAAACTTATTTTTAAAAAAGCATCTTTCCTGACCTGTGCTCCAACTTGAGCTGTTCTCTAACTGAGTAAACATCCAATTATCCATTTTCCAGTACCCTTTTAAGTGAGTTCAGATAATTAAAATACTGTAGTCATGTCTCCATCAACTTTAATTGCCTTAAAATAAGGTTCCATGATAGTGTCTGAATCACTAAAATTTTACATCCTTTTCACACATTACAATAACATAGATCAGTGTTTCCCAAACTTGACAATTTTAAGGCATGTGGACTTCAACTCTCAGAATTCCACAGCCAGCATTGCTGGCTGTGGAATTCTGGGAGTTGAAGTCCACATGCCTTAAAATTGTCAAGTTTGGGAAACACTGACATAGATGATGCAAAAAAGTAAGAAACATATACCCACATAACAAAATGAATGTCTACCTGAAACTAACATGTGGATAACTTTTTGTGCCATTAGAGTCCCTATTGTTCCAGGTTTTTTTTTACTAACAATGAGCATAAATCCACAATCACTATAGATCTTAAAAACAGGAGCTTCCAAATGCAACATAGCTGGTCTCCAATAAGACCTTTAAATTTAGAATGAATAGTCATAAAAATAATAGCAATCATGAACTAAATGAAATTCCAGCTTAACAGGCAATATGTCTTTAAAATGGGAAGGGGATGTTGCTTTTACTCCATCTGTATCGTTCAACTTCAAAATCATTCAAATTCAAAATACTGTACATACTGCTATATGTAAGCATTGGAAGAAACTATTAGATAAACCAAAGCCTTAACTGCCATCCAGCTTCCTTGGCTATCTATAAGCTTCCTAGGAAAACCACAAGTACATCATGTTAGCGACAGCTGTCTCTTGGTATTTTTCCCAGAATTTTCACTGGAAAGGTAAATTTTAATATTGGAAGTTATAGATAACCCTTCTTATAGTAGGCATTTTAATGTAGATTTGCCACAGAAAAATCAATAACCACTGGTAGACCTTTAATTGAGTTAGCTTTCTAACCCTACAAAAGGAATTTATAACTAATAAGGCTGAATTCTTTGGCTTCACTTTTCAAAAAGGAGAGCACAAAAAAGTAAACTGGCAACATCTTAAAGCAGTTTCATCTTCTCCCAAGGCAGTGTTTCTCAACCTTGACAATTTTAAGGCATGTGGAATTCTGGGAGTTGAAGTCCACGTGCCTTAAAATTGTCAAGGTTGAGAAACACTGTCCCAAGATATCACTGCTCTTTTAAGTTACTGTAGAAAAGTATTACTTTTGCTCTCCTATGGACTCTGAAGTACCTGAGCATTATGAGTCCCTGATAAATATTATTCATAAAATATTTTATGCTGTTTGATAGATGTTTTCATGATTGCCTTGTGAATTCATCTAGGCTGTCTGTAATCTGTCAGCGCTTTCCCCTTTCTTTTCTGCATGTTGAAATGCACACTGAGTTTATAAATGTGGGCAGGCTGCCAAGCACCCACTTTTTTATCAGGTGACCATAGGGACACTGCATTGGCTGTGTAACTAGCATTCTTTCAGCCACTCTAACTTCGAATGGTTGCTAAACAAATGGTAGTTAAGTCAGGACTACCTATATACCAACCTAGAGAGAGTATTCCTCATATCTGATGCCCAAAAATATATTTTTATGGACTCTATGCCTTAGATTGTGCATGCATCCAGAGGAGAAGCTCCTAGAAGCAAATCAGTATTGTTGCCACTAGTTATGTTGGATTTCAGCTCTTATTTGACAATCACCATAATGCCTCTGAAGATTAATGTGAAGGCAACACTTATTTCTTACCTCAATTTTAACTCAAGACAGTTTCCATAGCTAAGAATGAGGACTTGATATGGCTAAAGCACAAGCCAGTTTTTAGCAACAACAACAACAACACAACAACAACAATAATAAAGTTGGAAGGGACCTTGGAGGTCACCTAGTCCAACCCTTTGCTCAGGCAGGAAACCCTATACCATTTCAGACAAATGGCTGTCCAGTCTCTTCTTAAAAACCTCCAGTGTTGGAGAATTCACCGCTTCTGGAGGCAGGTTGTTCCACTGGTTAATTGTTCTAACTGTCAGGAAGTTCTAGGTTGCTTGTCTCCTTGCTTAGTTTCCACCCGTTGCTTCTTGTCCTGCCTTCAGGCACCCTGGAAAATAGCTTGACACCCTCTTCTTTGTGGCAGCCCCTGAGATATTGGAACACTGCTATCATGTCCCCCCTCGTCCTTCTCTTCATTAAACTAGACATACCCAGTTCCAGCAACCGTACCTTATATGCTTTAGCCTCCAGTCCCCTAATCATCTTTGTTGCTCTTTTCTGTACTCTTTCTATAGTCTCAACATCTTTTTTACATCGTGGTGACCAAAACTGGATGCAGTATTCCAAGTGTGGCCTTACCAAGGCATTGTAAAGTGGTATTAACACTTCACGTGATCTTGATTCTATCCCTGTTAATGCAGCCCAGCACTATGTTGGCTTTTTTGGCAGCTACAGCACACTGCTGGCTCATATTTAAGTGATTGTCCACTAGGACTCTGAGGTCCCTCTCACAATAGCAGATATTATTCCAATACCTGATCCTAGCTAGCAGTATTATTTTGAACTACCAGGACGGTCTTTAAGATAGATCTTACAGACAACACATTTCATTAAGAAGATTAACTGTTTTACCTTAGCAGTGCAATGAATGGGAATGACATTGGGATTATATTTTGCCAGCAGCTCAGGTGGGATGGAATTATTTTGTGGAGGCTGAGGAAAAGAAACACATTTCAAAAAAGTTTTAACAAATTTTCAAGCTGCTGCTACTAAACAACTCCCATATTCAGTATATTTATTTCCCACATATTATATTCTCTATAAGCAGTTGTTTTTTTAACTAATAGTTTGGAAGTGAAGCTGCCTTGGGAATGAAAGGGAAGGAAAAAGGAAAGGAAAGGAAAAAAAATCTATGAAGTTGGAGAAAGATACATTGGGATAGATTTTGTATATGTGTGTAATGAACTAATATATGTTTTACAAAGAAATACATTATCCTCACATACACATAATCCACAAAGACAAGATGAGAAAAAAGATTAGTGTAATTAATTAGTGAAATTTTGAATTTACATTCAGCAAAATTACAACTTCTCCATTTGCTGCTCCCCAATCACTGCTATTCTGTGGCCAAACCTGTCTATCTCTTGTTCCATGCAGGTAGCTCTCACTTCTATCTGAGGAAATTGGGTTAGACAGCTAGGAGGGCTTTTGAAAAAGCAGAAATCAAATGATCAAGACTAAGGATGGTTTTAGCTGAAAAATCCAGCAGTTGGGCAATATTGGGCTTTAGGATTTAGTGACCCATGGTTTAGATAGCAGATTTTCTGATGTTTCACTAGTAACTTTGATGGCATCTTCAGAGGCCAAGTGATCTGTGTGGCCAGTGAAATATCAGGAAACCTGTTGTCTAAACCCCAACACTGCCCTACCAATACCAGCTGTGAAAGCGTGACCAATACATTACTCCCAGCAATATTGATTAAACCTCATTACATCCAATATATTTCTCTAACTCAGCGGTTATCAACCTGTGGGTCGGGACCCCATTTGGGGTCGAATGACCATTTCACGGGGGTCGCCAAATGCAGTCCGCCATTTTTTTCCCCTTTTCCTTAGCTGTGCTACTCCCTTTTATTCTATTGGCTTTTGAAAGCCAATAGAATAGACTCTCTTGAATAGAGTCTAATTCTATTGGCTTTCAAAAGCCAATAGGAATTGTCCAGGCTGTCTCTGTCCTGCTGAGCCCGCCAAAAGTCCCTTCTGCAAACGGTGCTACAAGTTGTCTGCAGCGAAGGCGAGCTGTCTGGAAGCTTCCACCCCTCCCTGCTGAGCAACTACTAAAAATGTAAGTAAAAGAGAGCCAGGGATGGGAGGTGGGAGGCCGGCGGGTGCAGGGAGGGTTGCTGGCGCGCATGGGGCCCGGTGGGTGCCTTATCTCCCTTGGGCTGGGCCAGCTGGTGGCCCAGCCAGTGGTTGGCCTGCGCCGTCTCTGCCGCTTGCCAGCTACGCCTCGGCCGGTGCAGGGGGCGGCACCACGCATGTGCGGCGGTCCTGGGCAGGGAAAGTCCTTGACTTACGAGCGGTTGGGTAGTCCTCGACTTACGACTGGTTGGGGTCGCAGCATTAAAAAGGTTGAGAACCACTGCTCTAACTTAACAGTGTTTTTTGAGAAATAA